CCCCAAAACCCCAAAACCCCAAAACCCCAAAACCCCAAAACCCCTTCAGGTGATAAAACAATAGAATAAAGATGTTTCAAGCTGAGATAGAGTCCTCGCATAACCGAAGAAAAAGTGCATTAGACCACCTCAGAGACTCCCAACTCACTAGAGTATGTTTAATTTTTTTCTAATCCTGAAATAGAAGCAAACCCAGGAAGTTCTGAAGAAACTGCTTCAAAGAGACAAAGTCGTTCCTTCCAAACCAAGATGAATTAACAAGACTACTAGAGAATGTGTCTGAGAGCATTGCAAAAAGTCTAAAATTCAATTTATCAGTAAGCAACTTCTTTCCTTGTCTTGATCAATCTTTAGACAAAGATTCACTAAATGATGCTCAGACCAGACTCCTGATTGAAGGCGATAAAGTGAGATATGAACTCAGTCTTGATAAAATAAAAAGGATTCATAAGCAACAATTATTTGAAGTCCACAAGTAAGTTACTATGACTTAATTCCATCAATAGCCTGGATATATTCACCAATATGGGAGTCAAGTCTCTATCTAATAAAATGAAGGCTATTGAGCCTACATATACGACTACTGATATGGACTTAAGAGAAGTGCATCCGCCACTACCCGTTTTTCAGAAATTTGAGAAAGCCAAAAAGAAGTATATTCCTTTCTCTAACCTATATCTTTAGAAGGAGTATATCCCAAGGAGGGGAAAAACATAATGTATGCTTAACAGTTTATGCATTGTTCTAATTTTTATAGAACAAAAATACCAGCAAAATGCATGACCAGAAGTCACACAAAACCGACTCCGAGGGTCACTTCAACCCTTTTGAGATTATGGGCGAGCAATCAAATCCTCTGGAAATTAGGAATAGAAGGTAACGACTTACTTTATAGTATAGATCTGTCTTGTCGTATAAGTATAATAAATCCCAAGCCAAAAAGAGTGAAACAGAAGAAAACTCTGAAAAAGCAGAAAGGAAGGATACAGCTCCAGTATCTAGGCGAGGATCGCAATCTTTTCAGGCTAAATTTAAGCCACAACATAAGCACTTTATTAACACCAAGATTGACCCTAAAGAGTTGGTAAAGCTGAAGTGTTATGATTACATCTCAAAGCACTAAACACAAGGGCACATTCCCCAAGGTTTGATTCCTCATAAGCAACTATCTAGGCTCTCAGCTCAAAATAAGCTACAAAAGTCAAGAGAATTTAAGAAGATTGCAAAAAACTCAGAGACAAAGTAATCCTTTCTAATTATCCTGCAGGAAATGACAATTTAAGAAAGATAAAAAGAACTCTCAGCATAAGGTATAGCAGATAGCTAAGCTTTAGGCGAGTCTGTGAGAACTTCAAAGCTCTCAAAAGTTGTCCATAATAGAGAGCAACAAGGACGACTTGACTAAGTCTTTCGGATGCCAAACCTTTGAGAAGCCCTTACAATCTCCTAAAATTAACAAAGATTTGTACATAAACGAATATGCAGTAAGCTCTTTGGAAAATTTTAGATGATAAATGTACAGAAGAAGAGGAAGTGCAACTCAAAAACTCCCATAGGTGGTGTCAGAGTGCCTCAAATCATCAAATATCGAAACATGTATTTTGTATTATGTAAACTTATTTAGGCCCATCCTCAGATCTAAAGCTAAGGTTTCAGGCGACTCAAAAGTACAATACAAGGCTAAAGAAATTTTAACTTTTAAATTTAATGCTACTGAGCCAGGTAAGTTGCTTATAATCTTTATAGACATTTGATTTGGAGGCAATATTAACTCTTTAATCAATCAGAGCAACACTACTATGTCCATTTACTCCCCAAGCGTAATATTTACTAATTAAAATATAGAAGTTGACGAATAAGACAACTCATAACCTTGGTTCTAAAATCTCTTCAATAAAATCATATATGGCTCAGACACATTCAAGGTAATTTCAGAAAGCCCATTACCCCTCACTAGTTCTAGGATCTCAAAAGCTGTGAAAGGGAAAGTTGCTAGTAGTCATGGCCTGCGTACTCCTGCAAGGAACAACACATCTGTAGGAAGCCCTTCAGTTCATTTCCGGAATAAAAATATCACACACAAAATTACTGCTAAGCCTCAGTTCAGGGAGCTCCTAAAGAGCAAGTTTAATACTCTAAAAGGACTTCATATGTCCAGTGAGGTGTAGTTAAATTTCATGAACAATTCCAGAAATTATGGCTGAATTTCTAATAATTCGTATATTTTAAGAAACTCAATAATTTATTAATCATTGGGGTTTTGGGGTTTTGGGGTTTTGGGGTTTTGGGG